CTAGGCCTGACAGCCCAGTCCCTGCTTTTTCTTCTAAGAATATTATAGTTTTAGTTTGCACTTCGAAGTCCTTAATCCATATTGAATTTGTCTTTGTGTATAGTGAGGCAAGGATCCTATCTCACATTTCTGCATGTGGAATACAATTTTCCAACACCATTTATTGAAGAGACTCTTCTTTCCTCATGGAAGGAACTTAGCACCCTTTGAAAAATCAGTTAACTACAGATGTGTGGGTTTATTTCTGAAGTCTCAATTCTATTTCACTGGTCCATGTGTCTACTGTTTTAGCAATACCAGGCTATTTTGATTACTGTAGCTATATCCAAAATCAAACCCACTGTCATAGAGTCAATTCTGACTCATGGCAACCCCCATAGGGTTTCCCAGCCTGTAAATCATTACAGTAGCACACTGCCTCTTATTTCTCCTGCAGTGGCTGGTGGGTTCAAACCACTAACTTGTCATTAGCAGCCAAATGCCTTAACCACAGCACCACCAGACTTCTTATGTAACTATATAATATGACTTAAAATCAGCAAGTGTGAGTCCTCCTACTTTGTTCTTCTAATATTTCATTAGCCATTCAGATGAAAGCTCTTGTCTTTCCATATAAAGATAAGGATTGTTTTTTCTTTTTCTGTAAAGGCAGTTGTTGGAATTTTAATTGGAATTGTGGTCAATCTATAGAGTACTTTGAGTAGTATTGACATTTTAGGAATTTTAAGTCTTCCGATACATCAGCGTGTGACATCTTTCCATTAATTGGTCTTTAATCTCCCTCAGCAGTATTTTACAGTTTTCATTGTATAAGTCCTTCACATTCCTGGTTAAATTTATTCCTAAGTATTTTATTCTCTTAAATGCTATTGTAAATGGAATTGTTTCTCTAATTTCCCTTTCAGATTTCTCATTGCTGGTGTATAAAAACCCAACTGATTTTTGTTTGTTGACCTTGTACCCTGCAACTTTGCTAAATTCCTTAATTAATTCTAGAAGTTTTCTTGTGGATTCTTTGGATTTTCTATATATAGGATCATGTCATCCGTGAAGAGAAAATTTTACTTCTTCTTTCCCAATCTGGATATCTTTTATTTCTTTTTATTATCTTATTGCTCTGTCTAGGACTTCTAACACAATACTGAATAGAAGAATAAGAGGGGGCCCCTGTGTTAGTCCAAATTTCAAGGAGAAAGCTCTCCAGTCTTTCTCCATGGAGAATAATGCCAGTTGTTGATTTTTTATATATGCTTTGAATCATATTGAGACATTTCCCTTTCATTCCAATCTTCTTTGTGGTTTTCATCAAGAAAGGGTGTTAGATTTTATCAAAATGCTTTTCTGCATCCATACAGATGTTCATGTGCTTCTTTTGCTTCATTCAACTGAAGTGGTGTATTATATTGATTGATTTTCTAATGCTGAACCATCTCTGCACTCCTGGAATAAATCCCACCTAGTCATGGTATGTTGTTGTTGTTGTTATGTGCCGTCAAGTCGGCCCCGACTCATAGCGACCCCTCCTTGGGTTTCCGAGGCAGTATCACTACGGAAGTAGATTGCCCCATCTTCCTTCCAAGCCATTAGAT